GTACGCGGGCCTCTCACTGTTGTGGCCTCTCCCGTTGCGGAGCACAGGCTCCAGATGTGCAGGCTCAGTGGCCATGGCTCACGGGCCCAGCCGCTCCGCGGCATGTGGGATCTTCCTGGACCAGGGTATGAACCCGTGTCCCCTGCATCGGCAGGTGGACTCTCAACCACTGAGCCACCAGGGAAGCCCCGTACATATATATTTCATAATAAAATAAAACTGTGTACAAAACTCACTGTGCTCATTAACGCTGATCCTAACCTGCTTGCTTTTTGGTATTAAGCACCACCATGGAACAGAGGAAGCGGAGAGAAAACCTCCCCTTAACCCCCGGCTCCCTGTCTCATTTTCCGGTCTCGCTGGAAGGTTCGATGACTCCCTGGCTGGAGAGTGTGCTGAGAACCGTCCAGAGTTTCAGAGGGTCCTCGCACTTGTGGCGCTCTTCCCAATGCAGGAGCAGCTCTTCCTTCCTTCCCAGCGTCTGTGCACAAAGGACGCAGCGAAAGCCAGGCCGGGGTGGGGAGAGGGCAGCGTCGGGGCCGGGACCCTCGGGGCCCTGGGGGTGTCCTCCGGGCTCACTGGGTCCTGGCTGGGCTGCTTCACGTTTCGCAAGTATCTCCACGTCACTCTGATGACGGAGGTAGAGTTGCTTTTTCAGTCTGGGGACTGCACAGAGTTCCCCGTCCAAGGGCCGGTGCTTAAGCGGCTTTCTTCTCTCAGGATGTTTCCAGGAAGGAGCCTGTTGAGCCAGTTCTCCCTGAGCCCCCCTGCTTCCTGGGGAGGGTGAGAGCTCCTCTTGCAACTGGCCCTGGATTTCCTCTCCATGAACGTAAAGCAGGTGGAACTTGATTTCAGCAAAAGACTGGGCAGTGATCTGACAGCAGCCACATCTGATCTGGAATTTGACCTCATCAGCCTGGTTTAGAAGGAGCTCTTCTTCCAGGCTGGACTTGGTCTCCCTGGAAAGGGGGGAAAGTCTGTATCAGATCTCACGGAAGAGCACACGCGGAATTTCTCCTTACAGCTCCTGGCCTTCGGGGATCTCAGACACACGCACCGAGGAGGGGCCGAAGGAGGGGCAAGCAGAGAGGGAGGCAGAGGCCGCCGTGAAGGCCAAGGTCAGTGCTGCCTGGGGCCTCCCACTTCCCACGCCCGCCGGGTCCACTTCGGAAGGAGGCTCCCCCGGGAGCCACCTGTTCTTTGGTTACCATGGCAACAGACGTGAGCACCAGGAGAGAGGCAGAAACTCGCTGGGTCCAGCTGAGGCGACTGTCCCCCCGCCCCCCACGGCCCTCCCTCTCCCTGAGCACCCAGTGCAGTCTGGACATCTTAGCTAAAACTCAGCATGGACTCCGTTCAACAATTAAGAACTGAGGTTTCTTTGGGGAGGCTGCTATGTACCTTAGGAAAAGGGACAGAAATGCCTACAGAGACACAGAGAAACCCCAGAAAGGCCGGGAAGAAACAGGACAGGCGTTAACTTATTTTTAATGAATATGACAGACCAAGCTGAAATTGAACAGAAAGGATTTAGAACCATTAGGACAACTGGGAACGGTCAGGGGCCGAGGATCTAAAGTGCTGGAAAATGTTTAAGTTTCCCGCGCTGACGAGCATTCCCTTTAGCGCAACCTCCGCCCCATCACCTAGAGCAAGGCGGACAGACCAGGGCGTTTCCCTGGTTTACTCACAACTCTCAGAGCCGCCTGGCAGGCTTTCAGATTTTACTCAGCTGGTTCGTTTACGGTGCTGGGAAGCAGCGCTGCACAGACAAGGACACAGGAGACAGTAAACCCGGCCTGACGGGGAAACAGGGCAAGCGCTGCGCGTCAGGCCTGCAGCCGAGGGCTGGTCCGTGCAGCAGAGCCGCGCTGAGTCCCCGCCACCTGCCACGCCGCATTCTGGGCTGAATGGTGCTCTTTGGGTATACATTCTGTGGCCAAGAGTTTGGAGATTACTTCTCAGAAGCACCAGAACTACAGACACTAAGTTACTCTTTCATATTTCAGATGCAAAATTAATCTCTTGCCCAATTGTCCCCAGCGTCCCTCAAAGGGACCTCTGTGTCCTGGCTCGTGGAAGGCGGAGTCATCAAAAATCACTAATGATCAGAGACCAGAGAGGAATGCGGCCACTCTTCACAGAACAGGGGGAAGAGGTGGCAGCTCCCTTATGAAATCTTAACCTGAGGGAGGGTCTTCCAAACCGACCTTGCTGCATGTGGAATCTGGCCCTGACCTCAAATCCGAAGCATCCCCGCACTCACCTGTCCACCGGTCCCTCCATCCCTCGGGCAGTCTGCTCCCTGGTCCTCAGCAGGTCTCCCGGCTCGCAGGGGGAGGGCTCGGTGCTGATGGCCACCCCGTGCACCTCTTTCAGGTGGCCGAAGTAGACTCTGACGTGGCCGAACACCTTCGCGCAGAATTCGCAGCACACGAGCCTCCTGGGCCGGGAGTCGCCGTGATGCAGCCGCACGTGTGCGCTCAGGCTGCCCGGCCGCACGTAGGCTTTGCGGCAGAGCCGGCAGCTGTAGGGCCGGCTGTCGCTGTGCGGGTTGGCGCGCTCGCGGAGGTGCTGCTTGGGCTGCAAGGCGTGCTCGCACACGTGGCATCCGTGCCAAGGCTTCTTGAGGCCGGAGAACCCATTTCTAAAGGCCGAGCCGGGCTTCGGGCAGGGGCCGTCGTCCTGCCTGCAGCCCGGATGCTTGGGGGTGGCGAGGGAGTGATTGAACGACGCGTGCCCCCGGCTGCCGGGCGCCGGGGGCTGTAATGTGGCCGCAGGCGAGGCCAGGGGAGCCAGGGCCGGCAGGACCAGGACAGGTTTGGGCATGATGCTACGGTATTTTTTCACAGCCCCAGGTTTTTGGTCCCTGGATTCCTGGGGATCGGCTTTGGCTCTTTCTTTGCCATCTTTACACTTATTAATGACACATTTCCTCCTTTTACCCTGAAATGTCAGAAGTTCATCCGGGACCTTCCGTTTTCTTCCTCTTCTCTTGGCTGCCCCGCCGTTCGGTTTTGTTCTGTGGTTGAGGTCGGCTTTGGTGGCCGGACAGTAGGCCCTGTCGCAGGGGCTCTGCCTCGACGCCTGTGGGGCAGGTCCCCTGTCGGCCACCTGGGGGGCCGAACAGAAGAAGCCCTCCGGGATGGACGAGGTCTTATCACCGGCTGCCCTGAGCCCAGGGAGAGAAACATCCCCAACGTTCACAGCTGCTCCGCCTTTGTAAACTTGCGACGCCCTCGTTCTTGAGTAGGGCAGGATGGGCAGTTTACCTCTGGGGATGGAAGGGACCACCTGAACTGCGTTTCCAATAACGCCAGGTGACAAATGGGTCGCGGACCTGGCAGGGTCGACCTGTTCTCTAAGTTCTCCCCTGGCGACAGCAGGCTTCCTGGAGGGCTTCTTGCCTGCAACGCCTGCTCTCCCTGAACTCTTCGGGAGGCCCTGCTCGGCAGAGGGCTCCTCCAGTGTGGACAGCGCTGGGGCGGTGGGAGGGTCCCGACCTCCGTGGTCGCTGGTCCCTGGGGGCCCAGGGTCTCCATGGCCACCCGCACTGGCCAGCGAGGCTGGGGCCTGGCCGGGTGCCAGCGCCGTCTTAGGTGGGCTGGGCTTGTGCGGGGCCTCGGGATGCTCAGGCAGGGGAGGGGCCGCTTGGGTTTGGGCGGGAGCTTGGCTACAGCCCCTGTCGGAGGAGCTGAACCCCGGTTTCTTTCTGGCTCCTTTGCTATGTCCTGGGCGTTGGTACCGGGGGATGGGCAGCTTCAGGTTCTTGGGCAGAGGCAGTCTGGGTTTCTGGAGTGGCTGAGCCGAGGCGACGTGTGGCAGAGCGACGAGAGAGAAGGTCCCTTCCTGGCCGGCCACTTGCATCAGCGCGTAATTCTGGGGGGGCATCCCCAGGGCCTTCGAGCCGAGGGAGGGGCCTGGATGCGCGTGGTCAGAGAGGGAGGGCGCCGGGCCCGGGACCACTCTGGGCGCCAGGACTCGGGGTGCAAGTTTTGGAGCGATGGTTCTAAACTGACTCTTACCCTGCAGACCCTTCCCACCCTGAATCGTTCCAGGAGGGCTGTTTGATTCACCTGCAAGGACAATGCAGTATAAAAAGTCACGCTGGTGTCACATAAGCATCTTACCATTCCCTCTGCCTGGAAGCATCCCTAGACCCAGCCCTGCCTTTGGGGGCAAACCCCGTGCTCCTCAAGACCCAGCCGGAAGGTCAGCTCCTGCCCACCTTCCCAGGGACTGATGATTCACCACTTTCCACGGTAATTTTTCTGTTTATGCATCTCTACGACTAAACACAGAGCTTCCTGAGAGCTGGGGCTTCCCCCTCCTTGTATTCCACAAGTCCGTCCTCTCCACTGGCCTAATTCCGCCAGGGCGACCCCACCCCTCCCCCAAGCCCCCCGGGCTGCCCGCCCTCTGGCATGTTCTGCCGTGTACTCTATTGCTTTCATGTAAATGTCTTGCTTTCCCTATTTAGCGCTGTGAGCGTGAAGCCCGTATTGGATCTGCCTTGCCATTTCCCACTGTATCTTTGGTACGAAACAAATGTTTCTTGTATCAAACTTCTTTTTCACTCAATTTCAGGATACACAGTTTGACCCACTGGCAGCGCAATTCGTTCTGCGCAGTGGATGAATTCCAGCCTGAATGCTGGCTTGGTGGCTGTTTTCCCATGTGACTTGTGGATTTCTTCTCATACCTTCCAAACTGTTTATGTGCTTTTGCAATTAAATCACCAGGATTAAGAAAGCTGACGTGACACCTTACAAACATCTTGGAAGAAAAACAAAAAGATACACAGTGATAAGATACAGAGACAACATAAAAAATACATGAATCACACAAAAAGCCCCTTCCAGGACACCAAGAGGAACAATTTTAACTGACAGACTAACACTTCATATTCCTGAGATTTATTAGGCTGACGGAAGAGCAGCGATTACTGCTCTGAGGAACAATTAAGGAAACATTTCATGCTTCTAAGGGCTGGATTCAGTGATTTGATCCCCTGAGGCCTCAAGCTCCTAAGGCCTGGCTGCAGAAGAGCTTCCCATTTCTAAGTACCTCATATTACTCAAGCTTCACTTCAACTCGTGTTTACCAGGTACCTACACTGTTCTAGACATTGGATATGGCAGGCCTGTGATTCCTCTTCTGAAACCACTGCGGCCAGATGTATTTTGGAATTTACACTTTCAAATTTTAGAAAAGTAGTAAGATGCTCACACCAAATGTTACATAACACCCATCAGAGTCTGCAGAATACCCCTAGTTAAACCTAGTACCACTTCTGTAGTAAAACATGAGTATTCACAAGGGGGGAAAAATGAAGATTTTTAAAGTGTCTTATTTCAGTTCAGGCTTTGCCTCTGAATGAGTTTTGGTACCCAACGTTTGATAACATTTTCTGTTTTCAGAGCCTGTTAGATTTTGGAGTCATAGAAAGAGGCCTAAAGAACTATTTCTTTAGGGGCCACCAAGGATATAAAGATGAATGGATACAATTTCTGCCTTAGGTAGCTGGCAATCTGGTAAAGCAGACAAACATTAAAAAAAAAAAAACAACCACCTTGATTTTCATGTCTACAGTTAGTGAACTGGCAATTTTAGCAGAAAATTGATTTTTTCAGCAAAAATGACACCCTGCAAGTAAACAAATAAGTAGCACAGTAGGAATAAGGTTGAAATATATACTGACTGACCAACTTATTTTGGTAGCTTACATTAGAGGAAGAGGAAAAAGAGTCGTGTTACCGTCTGGGGAAATCAGACAAGGATAATTATGTAATCTGTTGTTTTTCCTTTTTGGCTTTGCTACCATGAAGGTCACGGGTAAACTGACTGGTGATCACCTCACAAGGGTCACCCAAGTTGATATGCTACATTTGCTTCATCTTCCTGCATAATTTCATTCATTTTTTACTTCTATTTTCACAGCCTTTAAATTTAAACGTCCTTCATGTTAACCCTCATCTCGTCTTTCTGGAAGAAGTACTGACGTAAGTTGCACGTATTGATAAATACACTAAATCAGAACTGGTAAAAGTTTGCAGAGAGCTTAAAATTATTGAAAGCTTTTGGCTGCCTAGGGACAAGGCTTATTAAATGATTCCACTAACAATCACAATGGTCTTTGCATCTACACAACCTATAGGGGGTGAGAGAGGGAAAAAAGAAGAAACATTGGGTGATTTCTGTCTCGGCCATACTCCTGAGTGATGGAGCACACAATATTTATAGCGAGAAGAGCTGGAAGAAAGGCTATGCTGGCCTTAATTAGCCGCAAGTCCTCTTGAAATAGTATGTGACAGTAACGCATCACAGCACAAGACACGTCACTTGTCTTGCTTGAGTCTGTGCAGTTGGCTCTTCGTCCCTGAGCCAGAGCCCGAGTCCTCGCAGGGGCCTCCAGGGCCTAGTGCGCCCTCGGCTCCTGGGAGCCCTCTGACCCGCACCGCCTCCAGGCATGCCAACCGCCCCCCACCCCCCGTGGCTGGTCCTCGCCTGCGTTCTCACCGCCCTGACTGCTCCCCTAGGTGGCCGCCAGTACCTGCTGCAGCATTCCCTTCAAGTTTTGTTCAAACGGCCTCTTCGTGACGAACTCTTCCCCGAGTGCCTCACTAACCTGTACCCCATTCTGAGCTCCCTGCCCCGCCTTCCTGTTTTAATTTTCTCCCGCACACGTGCTCACGGACTTCATCATGGTCCACAGCCCCCCCCACCCCCACCCCTGGAGTGAATTTCTCGAGGGAGAGGAGTTTATCTGCCTCTTCAGGGCCTGGAACAGGGTTAGGCATGGGCTCAGAAATCTGATAATTGTTTGTTGAATTTGTAAGTGGTATTTGTGATAAAGTGACCAGTGGCTGAAAGAAAAAAACAAAAGAACATAACTTAAAAACAAACTTGAAAAATGCCAAATTACTTTGAAAATTTGCCCACTGCCAGCATAAGGAAAAGGGTTTGCACCATGATTTAAAAACAAACAAACAAACGAAAAACCAAACCAAACAACAACAACAACAAAACCTTTTGAGATAAAGGGGAGAGGTGAGGCCAACTGACGAACCACCTGAGGAACTAACAAGAGAGACAGTAAGTGATGCTGTTGGGATGCGAACCCCACAAATAGTGGCAGAAACAAGCAAGCTCTGGAGTAGACATAGCTTTAAAGAAAACAGACATGCGAGGAGGGATAAAGACGGGGATTAGAGTGAAGAGAGGAGGAACAGCTAGAAACAGAAAACTGACCCTCAGAGGCAGAGAATGGTGATGTCAGCACAACGAGGAGCAGAAAAAACAAAGAAGAGAAGATGCAGCTGAAGCAACAACTGGTGGTCAAGGTCACGTCAAGGTCCCCGAAGACTTCCACTGGGAAGGGGCTTCCTAGGTTTTATGACCAAGTGTAAGAAAGCAACGTTCTGACAGTTAAGGTTTCCAGCAATGAAACCAACTATCTTTATTGAGCCATTCCAAAGGGGAGGGAGGGAGCTAATTATGATACATGTAAAGTGGATGTGCTTCAGGCTTCCCTGGTGGCGCAGTGGTTGGGAGTCCGCCTGCCGATGCAGGGGACACGGGTTCGTGCCCCGGTCCGGGAAGATCCCACATGCCGTGGAGCGGCTGGGCCCGTGAGCCATGGCTGCTGAGCCTGCACATCCGGAGCCTGTGCTCTGCAATGGAAGAGGCCACAGCAGTGAGAGCCCTGCGTAACACAAAAAAAAAAAAAAAAAAAAAAAAAGTGGATGTGCTTCAACTGATCTTCAAGAGTCCCTCCATTACAGTGGAAATAAAATCACACACAAAGAGCAATGGCAGTCAAAAGAAAAGGAGGCTGACCGTGGTCCAGGAGCACAGGGAACTCTTTAGGGTAACCAGCTGTCCCGGCAACAGAGAACACTGGTCGGTGAGCAGCCTGGTGGCCTGAGACCACAGGGCCCCGGGTGAGGTACGGGGCCCGCCGCACAGAGTCATCCTCAAGTTCCCTGCAATTCAAACAAGTGGGTGCTGGCGTAGAAAAGTGTATCAACTGGCTTCATGATCACTAACCACAAGCTAATCACGAGAAATCTGTGGGGTGAAAAGACAAGGCCTTGCACAGTAAACTAACTTGCTCATGCCTGCCCGGATCTGTTGGGGATTACATACAAGGGTGGGGTCTTCACAAAGGTGGTGCTGAGTCCCACCTCCCAGAATCATTAAAGATGCAGTGATAGGGAATGAAACGATGCATTAGAAGAAAAGCAAGGCAGGAGAAAGACGGCGAGGCCACAAAAATAGAAGGAAAAAAGAACCCCTAGGAATTACTAAGACGTCCTGCAACAGGGTACTAATACAATACTCATCCAACCATACAACAGAATACTATGCCACAGTGGAAAAGAAGAATGAGTTAGACTGATATGGATACTCTCCAAGATGTGAGGTTTATCGTATGCTATCACTTGGATTTAAAAAAAAACGCACACAAATCTATTCCTGTATACACACAGAATATCTCTCAAAGGAAACCAAAGAAACTGGTCTTAGTGTGGCCTTCGGGGTGGAGCCACCGGGGGGAGTAGAGGTCGGGGTGAGATGAATGTGTATTTCCCACTGAATACTCTCTGGGCCTGGCACACAGGAGGTACTTACAAATATTTTTCGAATGAATAAAAGGAAAATGAAAGTTTCCCTTTTGGATCCATTTTGCAAAGGGGTATCCGTGGGGATATCTGTGATGGGTTAGTGTGTGTCGGTACGTAAATGACTGTGTCCAGATGACACCTTGAGAGCATCTCAGGTTTTTACTTTCCTTGCCTACTGAATGATAAGAATTGCTAATGATAAGGGAAGTAATCGAATCGTCTGACAGGCAGTTTATCACTACCCCCCAAGGTTCAGCCCTGAGAAGCATCAGAGCTCATTATCCCCGAAGGACAACCGCAGTCCTGAGAACTGTTCCTCCCAACATTGGCTCTTTCAAATAAAACAGGGCAGTCTGCAATAAAGGTCAGTTACGCTATAATAACTACAGGGTTTTTCTTTTTTTTTTCTTTTTAAAGAGGTTTGATCAATAGGAGTGTTTAGAGAAACTGCAAATGCCATTAAGTTTTTTAAAACACTTGAGATGTCTGATTGTGGCAAGTCTTTCTTGGCCATGTAGCTGCAACAGTGGTTTATTCCACGACACATTTACAAGGCCTCTCCCGGATGGTGTGATCTAAACCCCGTCACCTGTCACCTACTAACTTACAGATTTCACAGAACTGTGCAGTAAATGGTAAGTCGAAATTTCCACTCACATTCATCATTTCTGGAAATCCTGCGGAATTACCCAAAACACAGAGAGACCCACAGGAGGGTCTCAGGCACTAAACATGGACTTTTCTAAACTGAAAACATAAAAGCCTCACTCAGTAAAATTAATTTTTGCACAGTTCTACAATGCAAATACTTAGTATTAGGATTTTAAATGTGGACTGTTTTTAATATGTTAAGCATATTGAACAACTATTTTGAAGAGTGACATTTACAGTTGGTGAGAATTTGATCTGTGGATTAAAGGAAAACGAGGAGGTAATGAGTCCTTATTATGGTCTAGAATCTGTGCTGGTCTCTTAATTGAATCCTTATGCAAACTCTGCAAATAAACATTATTGTCCCCTTTTACAGATGAGGCAAAAAGAGGCTTGAGGAAGTTAATTACATGCCAAAATCCACACAACCCAGGTCCGTCCCATTCCAATGTGAAGCAGTGACCTTCCTTCCTCTCCTTCATCCTCCCCTCAAAAGGGGGAAAATTCTTTACAAAATTGCCCTAATTAGCTCCAAAATATAATTTTTATCTCTGGATTTTAAGGAGAAGAAAATAGAAAATTTGAAATGGCAATGGCTTGTCGTATCTCCAAACTTCAATTACCATCAAATGATTCTTTCCAACAGCCCACTTATTAGAGAACTGACGAAAAGGTAATAGTCACCTGAAGGTAAAAGCAGATATTCAAAGTTGAGTTTCCCACTTCCTATCCACAGGGTTCTGACAAATCCAGAAAGGCGGCCAGGTATCTGTCCGGAGAAAGCACCGTGTGCGTCCCCCTCCATCTCCTCCAGAGCCAGGGGCTGGTGCGTGTCGGCTGCCCTGCCAGGCAGCGGATGGAAGCTGAGGGCCCAGTGGCACCACGTGCCCGCATCTGAGCCAGCCCCGTCAGACTGTGCCACAACGTGGCCCCGCACACAGTGTTAAGAGACAGGAACACGGGGCAGGCGACTGTCCAAGAGCTGCAAGCAGCGCACTTCCGGGTTTCCACCGGCACAAACCAAGGCCCGCAGTGTCGCTTCTGAACCAAGTTCTTCCCACCCGACCCTTGGCTGGTTCAGGCACGGCTTCCCCTCATTCCACCTGTGGGAACCCGAGGGCCCGCGGCTAAGCCGGAGCGGAGAGCAGGTGGAGAGAGGGGGCCCCCCGCTCTTGACGCAGCCCCTGGCTCCAGGCTCAGAGGGAAAGTGTTGCCAAGTCTTGGCCACAAAAGAGCCAAAACTTTTAGGACTTGTTTAGGTTTTAATTTTATTAAACTGAAAAACCCTATCTTCAGTTTTATTGGTTGGCATCCCTGTTCTCCCTCCCACTTGGCTTTCCAATAATAAGTTCCAGTTGGGGTTCAAACTGTTTCCCAGGGTGGTCTCTGGTTAAAACAAGCATGGTAAAACCCCGGAGAAATCTGAGATGAAAGAAACGTCTCAGAACACAAGGGAGCTCAACTTAATTTTGTTGAAAAACCTACAAACACGTGGAGCCATCGCCCACCTGTTCCCCTGCATGTCCCGGCTCTGCGGCGCCATCTACAGGGCTGTACTGAGGGCTGGCGGGAGAGATGGCACCATAAAGCGTGCTGGCAACACAGGCACACGGGTGCTTTGTTTCCAAGGACTCGGGATGCCAAGCATCACTCTAGTCCACACATCTACAGCACTCAGCCCACCTAGAGTCATTCTGCTAGGAGCCCAAGTTCAGGAAATCTGACACTGTACAAAGGAAGCAAGCATATTCCCAATTTATGTGTCAGGTACTGTGCAAAATACTTCGCATGCATTATGTCCTTTAATCCCCACAACGCGCTGAGTTAGGAATTACTGTTATGTGCATTTTACAGATGAAGATTTTGCAGCCAGCGGGTAACAGGCTGGAACTCAAGCCTTGGCCCACGTGACTCCAAAGGCTCTTCCCAGGTCTACCTGCTGCCTGGAAGCTATTACGCATGGTGACAGTCACCATCACAGTCTCTAGTGGTAAGATCATGGGTTTGGGGGTTCGGACAGATGTGGGTTCAACTCCTGTCTCTGTCTCGTGGTTTGGGAGAGTCACTCAGCCTGAATGTTCCCATTTATGAAATGGGCATCATAGTATCTGGTCGCTGTCAGGATTCAATGAAGAAAGTACGCATTAAACGTGCCAGGGTAGCGCTCACCACGCGTTAGATTCTCAGCAGTTTCCTACCTTCTCTTGCCAAGAAGTATGAAGCTCCTGACATTTATTTTTGGTGGGAGGAAAAAACGCACAAATCTTGACCGTGAATCATACGGCAGCAGCACTGAACCCTTAAACGGGTATTTCTTTTTTGAGAGGTAAATCAAGGAGACCGGGAAGAAATAACTATTACTTGTGAATGATGCTCCCCATAAACCTGTAAAGCACTTCTCTCTGGCCTCTCTCTGACAGCTCACTTATTACATCTGATCCAGCCTATCAGGCTCTCTTTTCCCTGCCCCGACCCCCAATTTTTGCATCCAGTTGACAAAGTGCTAATCAGATGAACAGTTCTAGTGAATAGGAGTGAACATATGTGCATTGTAAAGAGCTGTTTTCTGGGGACACCCTCCTCTGCTTTTGTTTATATTGAGTATTGATGCTAACTGCTGTTGTTCTCCAGCTTAGCAGGGGACAAAACTCCCCTAGTGGCCCTTCAGGGGATGGGGGTAAGCCCAGGTCTCAGGGGTCCTGGGAGGGACGGGATCTAGAGTGGGACTAGCGACTCTGGCCACATCTCAGGAGGACAGTGAGAGCAATGGCCACGGGGTTTCTCAATTCGTAAGAGAAAATATGGGGACACTCAGAGGGTGGGTCAGGGCAACCAGAACTTTGACAGCACTTGTAGATTTCAGTATGCTGCGGTGGGGGGGCGGGAATCATTAAGAAGTAACTTTAAGATAGCTTGTTTATAGAAAGAAAAGTTTAGCATCCAAAGAGGGTCTGTAGCCCATAAAATTGAACCAATTAGATATATGAATATGTCATAAAGCACAGGAAAACAAGCATTCTTTATGAACAAATTTAAAAGCCAGTTACCTAAAACATTAACGGCAATAAAAGAAAAAAAAAATTACACAGTGTGGTTTTTGTTAAATTCAAGTAGCTAATTATTCTTTTTGGGTCTTATAATTAATGTCCCAAATGAAAATTTAAAAAGCACTACATTTAAAATACATTTTAATAATGCTCAATTTCAGTGAATTTCTCCTTCATTTTAATTAAGCCCCCTGTATCAGTCCTCATTTCTGGGAGGAACTATTTTTAATTTCAAGTGCTTCTGATGAAAAACAGTTGAAAACTATGATATATCCTTATTTTTAATGCATTGAGAAAGATGAAGTTATTTATCGTTTTGGTAAAAAAAAAAAAACAAAAAAAAAAACCCCTGCAATGTGAGCAAGATTTTATTCACTATTATACAAGCAGTCAACTTGGTATCTTTACCCAAATCTAAGAATGACTGAGTAGCGCCAGAATTTAACTAAGAGCTAATGATCTATGAGGAATGCAAAGCAAGACAGAGGGATGCTTTGTTAAGCCCATCCTCCCGTTATTCTTTTTGCTGTTAATATTGCTAGGATTGTGAATGTTCAGTTGAGTCACACAGCTGAAACTGAGAAGGGCTTGCTAACTGAACCGCATCAAGGTGAAAGCAGCAAATCACTTCGTTTGACACTCTAACTCCCATATAACAAATACCTGTGCATGCTGTCTTTCCAGGAGATTCCGACTTCTTCTGAGTCAGCCGTTTCTCAACAGGACTGGTGAGCAGGGAAACACCTCCTACAAAAGGGCTTTAGTGAGCTACATAAATGTCTCAGGGCAAGAAATCTTCCACCACCGAGTTAAAAATGGACCCCTTCTATTTACACCTTATATTTCAATATCAGTTGGAACAGTTACATATCTGGGATGATAGTTGGTGAAGAAAACCTTTTCCTTAGTGGGATGAACAGAAAGACAAGGTTTCAACATCAGAACACGCAGTCAGTTGGAACAACTAAACTAGGACAGTGCAGAAAGTTCTTGCTTTTGGTCAAAATACCATGATTATGAAACTAAAGTGGTAAAGATCACAATGTTTCAACAGCAGGATAGTTAAAAGCAAGGGACTGGAATCACAAAGATATTCTTATTTTTATACCATAATTTCAAAAGTAGATTTGCTGTATATATATAGAATAGACATTTTTAAAGAATGTGCAAACTGCATTGTAAAAAATGAAAGAATGGTTCCACTGCTTTATGGTAGAGTTGTACAGATATTTTATCTTCACTTCTGAGTTATCTTCAACTCACACTGATTTAGGACATTTTTTTTTTTTCCTGCAAGTCTTTCTATACCTCAGCTTTTATGTCAAACAGTTCATGATTTGTAAGTACAGATGTACAGCACCACGTTACTTCTTTGTTATGTGGATAATTATTCCCTAAAACTCCTGCTTGCTAAACCTTTACTGTTCCTCATTTCTTCAATCAAGGTACATCTTACCTTAACACAGAGAGACCACCTATGATACTGACACTTGGAAGAAAATGAAGAGAAAGGAAAGGAAGCACCAGGCACTGCTGGCACCAAGGTCCCGGGCTTGTGGTAGTTGCTCCCATGGGGCTGACCAGTCTGGACCTCCGTGAGCTGACCCCCATATAATGTACAGATTCTGAGGTACAAAACCACCAAGGCCCCGGAGTGTGGGAGCCGTGGGGCCAACCTGGACCCCTTTCCTTTTGAATCCTGCCCGGCTTCTCCTCCGTCAGTATCTTTATGGTCCTCCGGATGACAGCCCCAGACCCGGCTGAAGGAAACATTCGCTCTCGTCCACAGGTTACGAAGATGTCAGAGTTAACTCCCCATTTTCTGCAAGGGGATGGAGTGATGACACAGTCCACCTGCGTTCTCTTTTCCCCGAGGCTCTGCACGTACATAGGTATGTGTACTTAGGTAAATACTCCTGGTCCTGGAGTTGGCTTCCTGCCTGATCATGCCTGGATACTCCCAGCATGCTGTGCGTCTTTCCACAGTGCTTACCCCGCCTGGTTCCCCTACTTCCCCTGTGCTTTCCACTCCCACTGCCTGCTGCCTGGCGCTGGAGAAATCCAACCACTGTGAACACTGGACAACGTCATAAATGTCAGGTTTCCAGTCTGAGACTGCAGACTGATTCCATAGTCAGTTTCTTGTCCTAGCAGACTCCCTTCAGTCCCTCACTGGGACCAGCCCAGGTTTCTCCCACTGCTGGTCTGAGGCCCCACCCCTCTGCCGCACCCTACCCTTCCCCCATGGCTCTCTCTCTTGTCAGTGATTTTTGGCATTGACCTTGCAATGAACTGAGTATTTGTGCCTTCCCTCCCCACCCCCAAATTCACGTATTGAAATGCTAACCTCCAGTGTAATGGTATTAGGAGCTAATCAGGTCACGAGGGTGGAGCCCTCATGAGTGGGATTGGTGCCCTTATAAGAGGGACCCCAGAGACTTCTCTTCCTCTCTCTCTGCTATAGGAGCGTACACCGAGAAGATGGCAGCCTGCCACCCAGAAGAGGGCTCTCACCGGAACCTGACCATGCTGGCACCTGATCTTGGACTTTCTGCCTCTAAACTTGAGAAATAAATTTCTGTTGTTTGGAAGCCACTCGGTCCATGGTACTTTGTTATAGCAGCTTCAAGTGACTGACACCTTGTGCGGAAGAGAGAGGTCGCTGTCCCTGCTTCCTACTTCTAAACTCTCCTCTTTAATTATACAACACAAATATGGTTACTTTTTCCTGGGGTGCGGGTCAGGAGGCCGAGGCCCTATTGCTCTAAATATACACCATATGCCCCGCGTCCTGAAACATGAAAGGTGAGAAGATGTGTATCTCAGAATCGGGAAATGGGGTGTTCCCAACGCTGTGCTGCACCCACACTTGTCTCCAGGCCCCTCCGCTGCCTCCGGGCTCCTATACCATCAGCGAGCTCCGGAGTTCAGGAGGCCTTCCCGACCATCCCACCTGAAGGCCGTGCTCCGCCCCAGGTGCTCAACTGTTTTCTTTAATTGTCCTTCACAGCACTTATGTTTATAATGAGATTATATCACCTGTCTCCTCCCACTAGAATGTAAGCTCCAAGAAAGCAAGGGCTGGCTTTGTTCACTGCCAGGACCTCGGTCCCTAGTCCCTGTCTGGTACGTGGCCATCACACAATACGTTATTCACTAAATGAGTGGCCTGATAGCTCTCAGCTGTACTGTCTTGCTTTCTCCTGTGTTTCTGCTGGACAAGAAACTATACGAACAAAACCAACAACCATAAGTAATCCTTGGGCTTTCTCTCCTCTTCAAGCTACTGACCTATCTCCTTTCTTTTCTTTGTGAGAAAATTTACCCTAGGTGGAGTATATGCTCCCCGTTTCTACTTATTAACTCTATCTTTCCTCACCCTAAACCCTTAAACCTCCTTGTGAAGGACTAAAATGTCCCTCCGTCAAGAGTCAGATTCGGTGCTTAAGCTATGATCTCACTTCATCCTCCACCTGCTCTCGATAGTAACATCTCTGGGCCACGGATGCAGGAACTGAAGCTTCCTGGCGAGGTCGCAAGCTGGTAGGTGAGAGATGGGTGTGAACCCACTGGCCCCAAAGCTGCTCTCCTTCCGTTCCAACACACTGAACTTAAGGAAGGGGTTTGGCGATGACTCTGTTTATATTGTCTGTCTCCTCCAGCGGCTGTGAGTGCCACACCATCCATCTCGACGCTGGGAAAATAAAGATCCTTTTGACTAACCTTTTCCAATCAGAGTGTAACCCTCAGGAGAGAGCGCGCGCTTCCTTTTCCTAACAGGAGTCTACAGCATGGCTACTGGAGACTCACGGGAAATTTAAGATTTTAAGGAAATTAACACAGAGGGAGTCCCTTCACAGTGCCCTAGTGCTTAAAAGCCAGGCTTCTTCCGTGGTGGCCTTCCTCTTCTTTTTTAAAATTTTTTATTGAAATACAGCTTATTTACAATGTTGTGTTAGTTTCAGGTGTACAGCAAAGTGATTCAGTTATATGTATACATGTATATCTATTCTCTTTTAGATTCTTTTCCGTTATAGGTTGTTATAGGTTATTGAGTAGAGTTCCCTGTGCTATACAGTAGGCCCTTGTTGGTTTTATATATAGTAGTGTGTATATTTTAATCCCAAACTCTGTGGCCTTTTGATGATGAACAAACCCTCTAGGCTTATGTCAAAATGTAACTTTTTTAAAGCATCAATTACACAATCAATTTAATAACACTTTTAGGTACCGACTTAAACAGGTTTTTTATGATGAGCAAAAATGAAAGGAAAAAAAATCATTACTAAGGTCTTTTATAATTTCAGTTATAATATAAATTTCCCAGATTTTTTTCAAATCCTATTGCACTTGCTTCCAAAACTGAGGTCAATGAAGAACATTAAGACTGAATGAAAAAGTCTGAAAATGCTGAAAGAATTTCTAAATTCCTCATGTGGTAAGTCCTGCCCCTTTAGTCACCTTGACAGAGCACCTGAGAATTTTCCTTTTTTGGGTGGTGAGGGGGAAGCTCCTTGGGGTAAACAAGACGAGTTGCATTACATGCAAGAAAGAGAACAGAGGCCTGGCTTTGGTTCTTTCACTTACTACTGGAGTGAGCCTGCGCCAGATCATAATCTTTCCTGGCCTTAAGTTTCTCTTTTTACCAAGGGAGGATTACACTAGAGCACGGTTTCTCAAAGTATGGTCTGCCAACCTGGGGAGGGTCCTCACACTCTCCTTTCATACTTGTAATGAGATGTCACTTGCCTTTTCTACCCTGTTGGCCTCTGCACGTGTTGCATTGATGGAGCAAAGGAGGTAATTGGGTAAAAGTGAACTCAGGCAGTGACAGCAAACTGTCCAAGCAGCCATATCCTTTGCCACCATACTCCCTCAGTAGAACAAAAAAGCAGGATAAAATTTCAGTTTTCTTAAACCTTGATCCTTACAGGCCTTTTAAAAATTCTGTACAATGACACGGTTCACCCCCCCAGAGCACTTCCGCTGCTCATTGAGGCATGACGGTGGCCACGAGGAAGAGTGCTCATGTGATGGTCTGAAGCTGAACTAGCTGCTCTTCATGGAATAACCATCTTGACTTGAAAGAACATCTGACAGACGTATGTTGAGAGAACGTATTCAGACCTGGGTACCTCGTAGACATTTTCTCAGAAGTGAATGAACGAGCCTTGTCATTACAAGAAAAAACATCTGGCAGTATCCATGGCCAATGATAAAAATCATTCTTTCGAGCAGCATTAGAATTTTGGAAAACCTGAATCCATCCCCAGGAGATTGACGCTTCCCTATACTTAGTGATTTTTCAGGTAAGACTGCTGGTTATTTTAACAAATACGATTTTTAAAATATTGTATAAAATGACATATATAGAAGATCTGCATAACTCAGTGAACTGTTTTCTAATACACGTTGCACGATGGACCTAAATGTAACAGAATACAAGAAGTACACTGACATGGTTTCAAATTTCACATTACAACTAAACTTTAAGCTGTTATCTGACTCGTTTAAACTCAGGTATAGTTATCTGACACATTTTGGTGTAGTAGCAAAGAAAATTATCCACAATTATCTGAAAAGGCTATTAAAATACTCCCTCCCTTTCCAGCTACTGTAAAGATGGGTTTCCTTCAAGTACTTCAACATAAACAATATATCACAACATACTGAATGCAGGACCAGATAGGAGACTCCTACCATTTTCAGTGCAGCCAGACTTTAAAGATTTGCAAAAAACATAAATCAATGCTAGTCTTCTCACTAATTTTTTTGCTTTGGAAAAATATAGCCAATTACACAAAATATGTTATTTATGTTAAGCTGTAGTGAGATTACTGTTATTTTAAAATGAATTCAAAAATACATATTTTTTCAGTTTATAATCTCAAATATGGTTAAATCCCATTTGATACTGTTGACATAAACAAATATTCTTTGAGTCCTCAATAGTTTTTAAGAGTGTAAAGGGGCCTGAGACTAAAATGTTTGAGAACTGCCGACTACATGAAATCTAGTTCAAGCTCTTTCAAGATTCTGATATTTTTTGTTGTGTATGTGAATGAGAATAGAAAATAAAATCTGGAAATGTCTTGCTTTTGGTTGATAAGTTTTTGTTTCCTTCATGCTTTTCCCTTGTGAGAATATAATATGGCAGATCCATGAGACAGAGTTGTGAAAATGAAGTGTTTAAAGGTAATTTATCCTAATAAAAATATAAATTATAATTAAATATCACTAGTTGGAAATGTTAGAATACAGCTTAAATAAAAAAATTTTTTGACAAAAGTATTATAAATATTAATGCTTTGAAATTTATTTTACTCAATTTATATTCATGGAACATCTTATAACATATTTAAACTAATGACATTTGCATTTTTTCTCCAATTTTAAGAAATATCATTACAAGATTCTCTTAGTAGTATTAGAATCTTTGAAAAAAACAGAGCACTGTTTTTCTTTCAAATCTTTTAGCAAAATGCATTCAAAATTATTTAAAGTTACTTTATCAAAACCAAAGTAATAAGTTGCTGTTTCTAATATAAGTTGGACATTGGAATTTCTGTAAATGTTTTTAGGGTTTTGGTGCCAATTAATTTAAAGACAAGAACAGTATGTTCATTCAAAGCATGACTAGACTTACAAATTTCCACTCCTATTAGTAGTAGACTTTTACAAACATAAAATGCCTTCTGGCTTGCATAACATCTAAATACCGCTGTCAAAATTCTTTCCTTTATCCCCACTCAGCTTATCACACCAACTATCTGCATAAATAAAGATGTAAGCACCTGCTATATGGCAAATGGTCTTGGGGGCAGATGCCCCCATCCTTGTGTTCATGTTGCTGGGGCCGCATACATTATCTGAACAGATGTATACAATCTGAAAATGTTGGGTCCCACGGTGAGATGTCTCCAACTGCTTCCTATCAAAGTACATAAATACTGTTTGCACCTGCATTTATGTTAATGATAGAAAGGCAGCAGGGGTTCTGACAAAGTGAGATGTGATCCTATGAAATACATTTACATGGTTAATTGGAGTTTCTGAGAGACTCTGCTGCCGAGTGGCTACAGTGACACTGATAGAGGGCAGAGGAAATGATCTGGTGAGTAGCCTGCTTTTTAAGCAGTGGAAATCTATTTCAAACAACAGAGATACTCATAAACCAAATTTACTAAAAAGAATATTCCAGACTCTAGTATTTTATCTCAAATAGGAGAATAACTCCCAATATGAGGTCTACCTGATAAGGTTTAGGCCACCCAAGTCATTTCCATTTTGTTCTACAAGGAAATTTCTATAGGTATGTGTGTGTTTTCCATTTGTACTTCTGTCAACAGCATAACATACTAATACAGCAGGTTATTACATTGGAAAGTTCCAATTTCCAACGTTAAGGAGTTATAACCAAAACCAGCTTGAAAATGTCAACTTGTACTTGGTCTGCAACATAAAATGGTACCAAAAGCCCAAGAACAGCACTTACACCGCTAGTTAAGATCAAAATGTTTCCATATGAATGTCACATATTTAGAAACATAATATTTTGGTAAAACATAGGGAATGCCCCTCTGCACCTTTAATGAGGTCACAACGCCACCTTAACCACTAAGTGCAAAGCATCAAGTCACAGTGCTTCCCCTTGCTACTGTGTACTAAATGTGAGCACTGAGGAGCCAGAGTTCACAGCAAGAGTTGTCTTTGTAGCTTTACTGAGCTAAGAACTTGTAGTCACTTTCAAATAACATACTTATTACCTGATTAACTTGACACCAATCATATCAACTTTACACAAAGTTATTATATCTGCGTTCCAAAAGAACTTTTATTCTGTAACTGACTCTGAGATTTATATTGCGCTCTAAGAGTTTACAAAGTGCATTCATACATGGTTGAGCCTCACCTGCAGATTCTGTATTTGTGCATTCACCTGCTTGCTAAAGTTTACTTGCAACCCCCAAATCCACACTGGTGGCACTGTCGTGGTCATATGTAGACATGCATAGGCAAAAAGTGTGTGTCATGTTCCTAGCAGTAGTTGATGCTCTGCCTTGTTTCAGCTCCCATACTGTAAACAAGTGTCCTTTTTGCAGTCTATTCAGCACCACATTTAAAAAACTTTTTTCCTTTTTGTTAGTGATTTCACTGTTTAAAACAGCCCTCGAGCATAGTGCTGATATGCTGTGCAGTGTTCCTAAGCATTAGAAGAGTCTGATGTGCCTCATGGAAAAAAATACGTGTGTTCGATAAGCTTTGTTCAGGCATGAGTTATAATGCTGCGTCTGTGAGGCCAATTAATGTCAAGGAATCAACAAGATACATTCAGTGAGGTGTCTTTAAACAGAAACACACATAAAGCCAGGGTTTGTGTTGATAGCTGATGAAAATGACCAAAGGCTCACAGGAAACCTAACCCTGCATTTCCCATAGGAGCCATGGTGCAGTATTGGCTAATTCAGTGTTTGTGGTGACTTTACAGAATGTGACAGCTGCAAATGACGAGAATCAACAGTACCTTATCTCATTGGACTGTGTCAGGGCAAAATTAACATCCCCATTCAAAAGATGAAAGGACTGAGGCTCACAGATTTAGCCAAGATCACAGAGCCTAGAAAGAAGGGCAGAAGAATAACCAGAGCTCAGCTGTCCAGCTCTTAGCTTGGTGTTCTTTCCCCAGA